TTAATTAGTGGTCTCAATCCAAATCAACTTTACAAGTAAGTAGTTTTCTTGACATACTTTATTGCAAAAACGCTATAATCTTTTTTTTATTTTGATAATGTTAATATGTTTTACCATTAACTTTTTTTGTCTCAAAACTGAGTGCCTTTTAATTACACTAAAAACAACCTTAACAGTGGTTCTGTATATCATATGTAACCAATATGAACTGAGAAATCAAATGTTGAAAGAAAGATTATTCAGATTTCCAACTTAAAGAGCTTGTCTACCTGGAATGAAATGTACATTGCAATATATCTCTACAATGACTACTTGCCAATAATATGTCTCTGATATCAAGATTACAAGGGGATTTTTTATATTTGGGTGCTGATTCACAAAAGATTTTATGATCAGTCTAAGTATTTTCCTTGTAATACTATTTTCTCTACTTACAGGTTTTATGTCAAGGCCTTGTCTGGTTTGGGTGAATCTTATGAATCTAACATCATTATGGCTAAACTAGCTATTCAATCCACATCTCCTGTACCTTACGTAGAGTCAGATTCTCCTGAAAGCGAGAAAGAAACACCTGCATTAAATGAACCAGTGATGAGGAAACATAGTAAGAGAAGAACAAGGAAAGAACGTTCACCAAGATCTCCCAGATCTCAAAATACATCCTATACCTCTACTGACACTAAACCACCAACACCTCCTGAGAGAACTATACAGAGTATAACTGAAGCTGCTTTATCAGTATTTACTCAACCTAAATTACACACCCATAGGCGAACTTCTAGCCGAGAATTTACTCCTGATAACACAGACACTGAGAAACGTCTTTCTACTGGTAGTGAACATTCTGCTAATATCTCTACAACAAGCAATAAGACAGATTCATCATTAACATCTAATCCTCAGGATTCTTCTTTGGATCAGAAGGGCGGTAGTTTAGAGAGTGCAAGATCTAAATATTTCCCTGAAATTAGTTATGATAGTTCTAATACTGGTACTTTAACTGGTACAGCAATGTCTGAAACATTTACTATAGAGAAAAGAGACTCGTATTTACAAAGTTTGGGTAAATCTCATTCTCGTGATCATGATAGTGGAAGTAAGATAGAGAAATCATCTAACAATTCAGATTCTACAAACTTACGTCGTACACCATCTTCAGATTTATCTCCCACAGAAAAAGTCCATAAAGATTCAGAAACTATCAAAACACACAGACGAAAGAGAAGTAAAGATTTGAAAAATCCATTAAGTGATATTGAACATCATCAAGGCGAGGGTCCACAGTTGCCTACAGGTGTACCAGTAATTGATGGGCGAAAGAGACATTCTTCAGGAAGTCGCCCCAACAGTCCAATGTTAGATACAGGTGATGGTAATTCTACCCTAGAACGTAAGCGTGTTCCAGTAGCTGATGCTTTAGAAAAAGGATTCTTAACCATCTCCAAATCCATGTCACAGGATCCACCTCGTGAGCCAGTCCCTCATAGAAAACTGCCTCCTTCACCGAAAGGCAAAAGTACAAGATCTGCCAGTCCTGGAGGAAGTAAAGAAGATTTGTCTAATACTGGACACCGAAGGACTCGAACTACTTCATCGGGATCTGAAGATCTTAACAACTCCTCAGCATCTAAAAACTCTGTTCTTTCTACTGCTGCTAAAGTGCTACAGAAATTACAACTATTTTCGAATTCTCATGATAAACTACGTAATAAAGGTAAAGGTGAAGAGGAGAGTGACAGTAATGAAGTGACTGGTCGTGTCAGAAGAATTAGTGATAGTGATAGCGATACAGGAAAGACAACTCAAGCTACTACTAAAAGGGCACCTGCTCCTAGTGATAGTGGTTCTGGTAGTCATTCTGATGATAGTAGACCATCTAAACCACACAGAACACATCGCAGGTATTGATCCCTAATTTACATTGCCCTTCTCCTTTCTCTTCTTTCTCTTTATCTTAAGTTTGATGTAAATTAAATGATATCATCTTGACTGAGGTACATCGCTCTTTTGTACATCTTCTCATAAGTTTTTTAGCTCAAGATTTCACCTTTTGCTAATACAGTATTATTTAAAAAAAAAATTGGAAAGTTATAGCTGTAATTATGATTATAATTTTTTTTTCAAGTGTTGTAATTTATGAACTTTATAACAATAAGTTAGTATTACAAAGTATTGTTTTGTCCAGTATCACAGTCTTTATCTTCCATAATTGACAGAATTTAATAAAATTCAAACTTCTGATATTGCTTATTTTTAGAACTCCTTCAGATCAGAGTGGAATATTATCATTCACTAAAACATTTAATGACAGGCCAGCACATAGTCCTATAATAATGGATGGAAGTAGTGCTAAAAAACAACCAACATCAACAGCAGCAATACCAACTACTACAACATCATCATCCAACGTCAAACGTCATTCTTCATTTCATAGTCTTCTACCACCAAAACATCAAGAGAAAAGTGCTAGTGGAGAGGTATGTGTTAGCTTTGTGTATCTGGGTATGATTCTGTCATAAGGACTCTTTATTAACAAAGACTGAGACACTAGAAATAGAAAAAAAATACAGAACTTGGCAAAATATTTCACATTGGATGCTGCATGACATTGCCTTTCACCCAAAATCAAACAATTCATTTTTTAATACTCTGTGAAAAGAAATGAATGAAACCATATTTGAAATTTGATCTCTTACTTTTAAATATGTTCAAAAATATATTTTCAGGATTTGTCAAAACCAGCAGAAGAAACTGAATCAACTGCCAGCATTTCTAAGAAATCGCCCAATTTCAGATCTCGATCACCAAGTCCCATAACTCTGACTACAAAACCTGCCAAATTAGCCAGTCAGCAAGGAAAGAAATCAAAGTTTTTTAGTGATTTAACGTCTTAGCTTGTGATATGCTAGAATTTAAATTTGGTGCATTAACTTCATAAAAACAGAAAGTTATTTAGACTTGTTGATAATTTGATGTTTTATATCTTGTGGCTTACTTTCCAGTAACTTGAAAAATCTTTGTATGCATTTATTCAGTAAGATTTGGACTTTTAGTATTAACTGGATTACTGCTGCTATTAGTATTTGTAGAGTCAGAAGATATATTTGATTCTTGCCATACCAAAACTGTATAACTCAATTGTCCAGGCCTATATTATGATAAATTTCAGCTGAATTGACTCATACAGATGTCAACATATATTTTGAATATAAGGCTTTAGAGTGTACAAGTCCGTTGTAGATTATCTTCACACATCCAGAGGTAATTCTAAAAACAGTTCACTTTATTATGGCAGAGTGCCACAATTTCTTGATAACACAAGATAGTTAGCTTAATTTCTACTAAACTGGGATGTGTTTGAACAAAACAATTGCTTTCAGATGTGTGTAGATTATAGATATTAATTGTTAGTATGGGTAAATAACATGTGTTTTTCTACACACGATTATTATTGTTAGTGTATAATTGTATATCTTTCTCATTGTTTCTATGTTATTGATATATCTTCTGTTATTTTTGAAGTTGGAGAATATGTCAGATTACTATAACTGTCATATGAAACTTAAATTGAAATAATTTACTTCTTGCTTATTATTCAAAGTTTCTGAGCTGTGTAATCCATTGCATCGAGCCAATGAAAGCATGGAACTAAATGTATTGCAGACACGTTAATCCGATTATTTTCTTTCTGTGTTCATAAAGCATCTTCAATACTTTCAAATCTGCTTTATACCAAGTTCAAGAATCTTAATTATTATTTAATATAAGCAATATTATCGAATATCAAAAGTAATTGTCATATTGTGAACACAACAAATTACTGAATACTATTATGAAATAAAATCATTGAGCAAGGTATTACAATATTGTATGTGATATACCAAGTGCCTAATAGCAGATATATCATAATATAAAGTAGGCTATGTCTTTAAATGCTGATGATAACTGTGATAAATGCTAGAATTTCTTATCATAACTCTTTTAACAGGTATATTATGTATAAAGTTCTTTATGAAATTTACTATTTCTTTACAACAAAAATATAGAATTATTTGTTTCATTGTTTATTAAGAATCTATGGTTGTTTGTACAGTGGAACCTCTCTATATTAATCAGCCATGCAATGTTTCAAGCTAAATGATGACCAAGAGAGGTGTTAATTTTTGTACATATTTATATAATGTATGAAATGTAATATTTTATTTACATCCAATATTTGAACAATCGTTTGGAATATCCATTTTATTATTATTATTAAAATATCTTGTTTCTCTTTACTACTACCCTCTAATACCAGAATTCAGAAACTGATAGTAACTATATATGCATGTAGTAATTCCAGCATAATTTTTCACATAGATGTGTAGGTATTTGCTGTAAATTATACATGCACGGTGAGTCACTTAGGGTAACACATGAACCCTACTAGGTACTCTGGACACCATTCAAACGAAGATTTGGCTCTTCTACCAGCTGAGGTTGAAGGAGGCACATGGTCAACAAAATCACACAGCAGGGGCATCTGTCGTTCTTCGATAACTGTGTACTTGTAATCATCCATTGTTGGCTACATGTAAATATGAAGGCATGTGCTTTGTAATACAACAAAATGGGTAAAAATAAAAGTCCTTTTTCTAATTTACCCAATTCTATGCAATAAATTGCAGCTGCCAAAGCCGAACAGAACAGCATACGCTGCTTGAAAATGGAACTTGCATGTTTCCAACTATTTCATACAATACTCTACTATGCAGGTACACAGCGTTTTCTAATAGTAACCCGGTATTATGAAATTACCTTTCAATTTAAAGTATCCATGTGCCCTTCAAAACATGAACTGTATACCTGAATAGTATACTTCTATGTGAACTCAACCTAATGAGTTTGGCATAGTTCAAAGGATTACCATCATGCAATAGATTATCAGTGGAAAGGGAGATCAGTGATCCATACAGCATATACTAATATTCATAATAACTTGGTGAAATGTAACACAAAAAATTTGATAAACAATTTTTAATATTACAATATACACTCAAGCAGTAAACAACAAATAAAACTCTATAATGAAATGGGAATGTCATGCATTAAATAATGTATATTATCAGAAACATAACATGGAAATCAATCCTTTGATGGTATGTATTGTAACCACACATATCAACAATGACAGGTCTCTCTTTCATACATTATAGTACCCTATTGAGGTGTCCTTATAATTATACTAATAACTGACACTGCAAAGAGAATAACTGATTAAAATAAGATTTCTTTCATGAAAATGTTTCCATTAAATAAATAAGACATGTACAACACAAAAGTTGTAACTGATACTAAACGTAACAATGTAAAATATGAAAACAATTAGTTTAATATGAAAAAATATGATAAAACAGACTTCATCATAAAGAAAAGATTAACATTTTCAGTAGCAATGAAAAATATTACTAACATAATAATAAAAGCTTATCACATTATCATAATAGTGCTCAATACAGAAATTGTAGAGCGATATAGAAATATTACAACAGAATCTGGAAAATATTGTTAAATACTAAAACTGAACCTGAAACATGTTGTGAAACTCCCATCTTTCAGGTTCTGATTAAATATTTCTATATAATGCGTCAATAAATACTGAGGTAAAAATAGACATAGTGTATAATGATATGACTTTAGGTTTAAACAGTTAACATTAATATATAGTAAGGGAAATGAAATGAATTTTACATCCTACTTTTCAGCACCATGTGGGCTAACGAAGATGGGCAACGCCATGCAAGGTGCAATGAGGGAAATTTTTGCCAAGACAGCGGCATTAGCTCTTTTTCGTTTCCAGATTTTGAGGGATCTTTAACGTGCACAGTCTGTAGCACACAGGGCCTTGGTTTATTGTCCCATCCGAACGACTACACACTTTTTCCATGTCAGCCCCTCTTAGTAGAACAAGGGAGGGAACAACATAGGAGACAGAGAAAATATTTGGGACTTCATTTGACTAGATCTTTTTTTACTTATAGATTTATATTTGTCAAATCTTCAGCTGATAAAATTGAACCTAATCAGTTCCTTTCAGAATAACCTGAATTTCTTAGAGAACAATACAAGTTTGAACACAAATCATTTTGAACTAAAACCTACAATTTTCTGAAGATGACAAAAAAGGAATTTGAGGCCTTGTTTAAAAGTTAATTTACCTCCGTCCAAATAGAAATAAAAATCCTTCCCATCTGGTAGGCCTATATATGTAAATTAAGAATTAAATTACCCAAATAAAAATTGAAATAAATATTAATAGTGTGGTTGACTATAGATATGTTGTAACTTCATATTTAAAAAATCTTTGAGATAAAATCAACCCCTTGCACAGCAAGTATACATTCAATCACAGGTAAAAAGGTTTAAACATGCACATTAACCAATAAATAACAATGTATCTTCTAGTACTAGACTGGTATCAGATCTCAAGTCAGTTGGCAGCTTTCCTTTCAACTTCACCATCACCTGTATGTAGAGTTTGACTAAAACATGGAGTTAAGGCAAATCTTTCTATTGGAGATACAAAACTGATTTGAAGTATTCTGTGGGGGACAAGGATAAGAAGAAAATCAAACAGAGCAGGTAAAATTGATTATTATTAAAATTGTATTATATTTCTGTCAAAATGGTGCCAAGTCATTTTTGAAGAATTTTACATTTGCACAAAATATATTAGAAACAAATTTATACATATGTGCTAGAAATTCTAAAAGCAACAGCAAAGATTGATATTTTGCTTTTGAATGATTCTTAAAATTCCATTTTATCTAGTTATACGGGTTTTTGAGGTTAGGCTACATTTTAAAAGGATACATTGATGAACTCAATCCTTGAAGCTGAATAAAAAAACATAAATGATATACATGTATAGGCAAATTGATAAAGAAATTGTAAAGGATTTTCTCAATTTTGTATGTGTATCCAGTACACTGATAGCATCAATTTGCAACATTCCAATTTTGAATCTGATGTAGGTGGTTCCTGAAATTCCAGTGTTTGATAATAATACGCTTTATCACATAAATCCCTTGAAAAAAATTTAGAAAACCTCTTAACAACCCTTTTAAAGGACAAATAATATACATTAACTAAAATCAATAGTCATCTAAATCTAGTTTCACATGCATTAATATATCTTTAGTACTTATACAATACTTTCTATAGCTCTTAAATATAACCACTGAAAGCGCAACACATTTCATACAATTTTTAGCCAGCTTGAAACCTGAAAATGTGATGATGTCCTATATTCATATTTAAGACTTTGACTCCTCCATTTTCCTTCGGTAGATATTATCTATATGTATCTTTATCAACAGTAGATAATATCCACTAGATTTTATCAATATCTACAAATGCTCACGGTACATGGACTCAGTCAAGCTTTCTAAATACAAGATTCAGTCCACCTATTCTTTATATGAAAATAAAATATGAAGACTAAAGAATAAAGAACCAAAATGAATCTCTGGGTTCAAAATGATAATATTAATGAATACAGGTGAAATCAAACTAACCTGTCCTATTAATTTATTGAGATTATCATTGGCTGCTGACCTCGCTTCATCTGAATTTAACCTAAAATATTTAATAACATTCAATAAAACTTCCTGATTTCTAATGGGATATCATCAATGAAATGCTTTTTCTAATCAATGCCCCAAATGGCATTTATCAGACTTAAGTAGGAATATACCCCAAAATAGTCCAGGTTTCGCACAATGTGTTCACAGGTTCAGTTTTAATATTTCTATTCAGATAAACAACTAACCTATGCATATCTTGTTGTACATCTAAATCAAAATGAAGTCGAGCCAATCTTTCCTGTTGTTCACGAATCTGATCCATTTGGTCAAAAACTGATCCACCACCTGATTGGATAAATAAAACAGAATAGCAATATTTTCTGGGTATACTCAAAAGAATTGAAACACCTGTACAGATAGTATCAAATTTGCTACATTTCTTTTTTAGTTGTACATCCATATTTCGGAGTGAAACATTAGGACCCTTTCCAAAAGCTGAGATTATTGCAAAAGTGAGAAATTTAACCAGCCATAGAATGTGATGAGTTCAAAGTGTTTAATCTGACAAAGCTACAGCCAGCCCAATCAGGTCATAGTAGAAGTATATGTTGGATCCCTTTCTCTCAAATTTGCAGAAAACAAACATGCACTAAAGACTTACCAAATGCTCTCAGTTTCCCAGAATGGAATTTTTCAAGTAATTGTAAAAGACCTTGTTCCATCTCTCTCACATCAGCGACATCGGTTAGAAAAGAATGTTCTTTACATGGTCTTTCTGATAGTGGATCTTCTACATCCTTTTCTGTAATCATGAAAGGTTACCAAAGGTTAAACTAAAACTAATAAACCACTGAATACATACCAACAAATAAAACACAGGAAGCATATTCCTATATTCATAGAATACAGACAATAAAATTTATAATTCATAAGGTTAAAACCAAATAGAGTGATGTGCATTTATAATAGCGGTAGGATTCAGGTATTATATAACTCTAGCTACAAATATTTAATTTGTGATGTTTCAAAAATGATACTTGTGTCAAGCAATAAAATATGCTAAAATCAAATCATCACTTACTTTTGTGAATAGCTGATGTACTATCATTCTTCTTGGTTGTTGCCAGAGTCATATGTTTTTTACTAGAAGTAGTGCTTGGGTGTGATCGACTTTTACTGTCCTTTGATTTACTGGTTGTTAACTCCATCTTTATCACAGATGTCTTTTAAAAATCAAAATATGTTGCATTTATGGTTAACATCACAGGTTTCTGAAATTCAAAAAAAATGTCAATTAGAACCAATGAGGTATGATAGAAATAAAAGTACAAATAGAAATACAAATAGAAAATGCAGTGACGCTTCTTAGACGGTAGTACTGAGTGCGGCTACTCTAAGCTAAGCATTTGTGTGGAAAGTTTTATAATATGATTGCAATACTTCTTATTCTTAAAGGTTTAAATTATCTCTTAAAGTGATACGTCTTAGAATGAACCTAAAATTTATGTTCTCAAGAATGGTCAATATGAGTATATATTCATCAGTGAACTTAACTGGTGTCATACAGTTACAACAGAATCCCTGTAAAATCCGAAAAATTGGAAAATTCATAAATCCATGTTTTTTAATAGTTAATTGCATATTTATGGATAATTACTAAGTTTTTTGGATTTATCTGTTTATTAAAGGATCCTGTTCTGTTATTTATGACACCAGGTATATCTACTGATGAATATATGCTCTTATTGGTCTACATTTTATCTCAACCGGTATCTCCACCCCTCTTGTTAGCTAATGCTATATTGATTATGATTAAGAATTATTACGATTTTGATTGATGATGCCAAGTCAAATGATGGATTGTCGGTGTTTTCTTCAGTTTCAGTTTCACTTCAGCACTGTAGCGATGAACGAACACAACAAAGTACCACACAGTTTAGTTTACAGTATTACCGGCATTTAATTCTTAAAATCATCATCTTGTTTACTAGTATAACACTTGGGCTTGAAAAATAGTTGGTAGCCTACAAGCATAAGGAAACAGATACTGGAAAACTGGAAAAGAGGAAGCTACAATAAATATCTCTTCTTACTTTCAAGATTAAAGAGCACATTGAAGGGGGATAATTCAGACGATAAATAGAAATAAGAACACAGATAATGAATATAGTATCTTACAGAGCCGTATATAGAGAGAGTCTGGCCAACTTGTGATCTCGCCGCGCTGAACCATGATTGGCGCAGAGCGGTCATGTGATTGAAGGCCGCCATATTGTTACCCTTCCCGCGACGTTTAGGCGTAGGAGCCTGGGTATTCTTTACGTTGTTTAAGCCTAATTCCTGGTCTTGTCTGGCAACAGAATGCCTCGATGTGTGGCATAGAAATGCTCTGTCAAATCTGGAGAAGGTATAGTGATGCACAGGTTCCCTAAGGATAAAAGGAGACGCAGAGAATGGGAAGTAAAGGTCAAACGATCCGACTGGACTTCCCACGACAACTCTTTTCTATGCGATGTAAGTACATTCGATGATTTCAGGGGTTTTGCAAATCGTGTTATGTTCAGGTCTAAAAACTGGATATAATAGATATGAAAACTTTGTGAGAGGGTTC